GGAACGAGGCAGTGGCTGAACTGTGCTCTGGTGAATTCAAAGTGGCTTACTGCCGTGATCCGGAGGGTGAACTACAAAACCCTACAATTTTTAAAAGCTATACCTTTAGTATCATAATGTGTTAACAGCGGGCTGTTTTGAACGAATCTGTTTTATATGTTTATAGAAAATAATTCTTTCTCCTTTAAATCAAATAACTTTCTCAAGAACATTTTATAGAGGCAATATATTAGTATATAAGACTTCCCGTAGAAGCATGCACTGGTGTAAATGTTTATTAACTTAGAAAAAATAAACATGCATGTGCCCCGTATCGCTTAAAGTTTTTGGCTGTCTTTTACTGTTTATAATTCTTCCCTTCTGTAACACTCTTTACATTCTATCACGTTTTTGTAAAACGGTTTTACATATTTCAAATATTATTTGTTGAAACAAATTTGATATTGTTATAAGCGGAAGTAATAGTGTCTTTGCAGGCAGTATATAACTATATCTAGATATATAGGAGCGTCAAATCCAAAATTTCACCAAACCATATTTCTGTAACAACAGTAGGGACCTCAATCTGGCAAACTAATGAAGGAGAAAGTGGTGTGTACGTAGATTTTACTTTACCTGGTCAATTAGTCAAATTACGATTGTACATATAGTGTGGGTGACCAGTGCACCATAACATTCAAATTATTAGCCACAGTGATAAAGATTATCATTAATTTAGGCGTTATAATGTTATGCGCCTTGTCGTCCGCCTGTCTGTTAGCATTTTTCTTGTCTAGTCTGTAACTTTTGAAGCGATGGAAGAAAATTGAAACTGCTTTGCGGAAATATTCAGTTAATGTGCAGAGCACATGTTTGATTTTCCTCAGGTTAAGGTCACACTTAGTCATATTGTTTCAATTTCAATATTTCATGTCCACCTTTGTATCTCCTGAACCGATAGAAAAAAAACTTTTCGCAGAAATATTACTTATAATCAGACGATGTGTAAAACACAGATTGGGCTTCCTTCGATAAAACTGGCCCCGCCTCGGGGATGACTTGATTTCTATAGACTTATATAGAAATATACATTTGAGATTTATTTGTGAAACTACAATGTATAGAGCTTAGAAATTAGACATGTAAAAGCGCCTTATTATTATAAAACTGATATGAATCATGCTTTTGTGTTCAATATAGGCCCCGCCCAAGGCGTCACTTGATTTATTTAGCCTTATATCGGAAAAACACACCTGAGACTTACTGTGTACGATCCCATGAGCTTAGATTTTTGGAATGTAACATAACTTTTTTACCACAAATTAACTGGTATTAATCAATCCCTTTTGATTAATATTGGCACCAGGGTCACCTAGTTAATATAGTTTTGTATAGGAATACACAAATACACATTTAAGTCTTATTTGGGGAAACTACAATGCCTAGTTTTAGATATTTAACATGTAACATTGTCTTGTTGGCCTCTACAAAATCATGCCCCTTGTGTCCATATTGGCCCTGCCCCTGGTTTCACTTGGTTGGTAATCTTGGGAAAACACATTTAAATGTTATTTGGGAAAAGTATTTTCAGACAAGTTTCTTGGTTGGATCTCTACCATGATTGAAAGTTTATTTCTGATTACCCAGACAAAATTATAATCGAGCTTATATTTCCCCGCGTTTGTGTGCTCTTATTTATGCACGCAAGTAATCGGAGAGAACTTGTATGGCCTGTCAATTATTCACACAAAGTTTTTGATGAACTTTCCAAACTAATATGTTGTAAGCTGTTGTTTATGTGTAACCAGAAAACTATCCGCCGAAAGATTAAATCTCCGAATGTTTCTACATTAATCACCGTTTCCGTGTTTAACTACGACCGATGCTGCAGAGTGAAAATAATTAGTTACTGAAACCACTGCCGACTATAAAACGCTCAGTCAAACATTGCAAGCGTAATTGTAAATGTTGCTGTGTTGGCTGACATTAAGGGTTGCCGAAGTTGATTAACTATATGTTCTGTTGGCAACTGAATTGCAGAAACATGTATAAGCATATATGTATTTACAAAAGAATTGGTATTCTTGAAAGAGAAAGGTTTTGTTGAAGCAGATTATGACACTTTTTTACCGAATCGAAATGATCAATCTGTGTAACTAACAAAGATCGAGAATCCTTAAAAAATGATTTTCTTGATACTATATGTTTCTTTCACAGAAAAATTTAAGAAATACTGTAAAAATCTGTGTAACTTACAAGATCGTGAATCCTGAAAATATTTTTCTTGATACTTCTTGATGCATATGTTTTTGTTTTTTTTTTTCGATTCGATTCCTTGACTAAGTGCCCTATAGCGTTGTTACTTTGGCTTGAAAGCGAGAGGTCGTAAGTTCGAAAAACAGAAACCGTTCAATGTTTAATGATGCATTCTCATCTTTTTGTTATGACTGAATATATTTGTAAGAATATAAATTTATGATACAGCTAATTCTCACTATACATTATGTATATTACTGCCGTCACGTCTCCGCGATAGCAAAAATCTGTATTCGTTATTTGTATACTTTGTATATTTTGCACAACCTATGAACATGGCAAATTGGTCAAAATGTTGTTATCTTTGATCATGTGACTTACACTTTGATTTATACATGTATATGTATTTTAAAGTTAAGATGGGTAAAAAGTAATTTCAGTGTACGCAAAGGTACCACTCTATCAATTAAAAATGAAACATAAATAGCAACGGGGAACGATGTTGACAGAAATCATTTAAATGTAAAGCAAATGCTTAACATATATTCATGTAATAATCTTTGATAATCACATGATGTTTAACGTATGTAGGATAAGTTACCAAAGTTTATCATCGATAATTAAAAAGGCTGAGATTAGATTGATATCAAATTATCATTTGTTTCAAAATCAACATGTGACTGTCACATTTTATCTTTGTAAACACTTGAGAAAGATAATTGTCTTTCCATGATAATAATTTGATGAGTTGCGCTGATACAACATACGACGTTCTATTTATTTTGTCATTATCAGGGGACTTTAGAATAATGACAGATTGATTATTGATAAAGTCACCCAAACGCACATGGTACGTGCATGCCGAGATGAATTTTCCTGATTAAATATAATTTCAAACGTACGTAGTGCCATACGAGTATGATACATTCGTACTTTGCCCGGTGATAATGACACTCATAGGTAGGTTCAGTATGTTGTGCCTGTCTAAAATCTGGCACGTCTCACAGTTAAAAGATGTATCAACCTTTTCATTGCCTTTTGTTTAACTTTGATGTTTTTTGCTATCCTTAGAACGACTGGCCCGTTTGCATGCACTTTAATAGAGATCCTCAAAGTGTAGTCTGTCATTTCAAACAGGGGTCTTTCAACCTCATGAAATTCGAAATTAAGTGGTGCGTGACATAAACGTGCGCGTGAGATGCAAGGGACCTATGGTAAAATGAACGCTACCCGTGTCTGCATAATTTTGTCTCTATTCTCTACCTTGAATATTTAACTTAACTTAAAAAATAACATTTTGGCAGGAACACGTGACACTCTTCTGTTTAGAAACATGTGATCGCGGTAGAACTCAAATTACCAGTTTTGACGAATTCGCGCGAACTTCTTTTTAAATTGACATATCCGTGTTCAAAATTCATTATTCACCTCTATCGCATGACAACCTGTATTATATTCAATTATTTTCAAAGGTGAGGCCATGTTAAAATTTGGGACATTTATATAATTATGATATAAGGCCAAATGTAACGTTTTCTTTTCAGAAATGAAAGAGTAAAATATGTCCTTCACGCACAGACTCATTTCAAAATACGAGTATATTTCAAAGAGAAGGCTAGAAATGGTAAGGACTTATCGGGAAGCCACTCGTCCCCCCCCCCCCTCTTACAAGTAAGCAGTAAAAATAGGTTTCATGTATAAATAAATTATTATTGACCTTTTAATTCAAGAAAGAAAATTGCGAAATCATCAATAAAGCGTATTTCTTCTACTGCGTTACTAACAAAGTAGCTGATATAAATAGAAAAGACAATTTATTTAATATAATACGCGTTACACTAGTGGTTTCGAATACTCCGGGGATCCGGAACTCCCGGTCAACGGGGTCATACTTCAATGTAAGTTACTGTGTTGGCTGGCAAAGTTCTAATCATATTTCAGGCTTAAGCTAATTTAATTATACTGGTCATTACGTATATGATGTAATTGATAAACTTTTAAGTGCCACTAATTACGCCAAATATAATACCAAAGCAGTTTATTTGTTTCCATCTTTTCTTTTCTTTTTTTTTTTGAAAAGATCTCCGATCCCAAGTGTCCCGGGTTTCAAATCCTTATTTCGTCCTCCTATACTATCACCGGGTATTACAAATACTAGAGTAACCCTGATGAAACTGTTGCGTAGTGTAATTAAAGAGGGTATTTCAGGAAACCTGCCAGAATATAAACGTCAGATTAATTTCAACTACATTTTGTAGTTTATGTTTTGAAATAGTACGACGCTAATTTTTTTGTTATCTTCTGCTCAAAGATGAAAAAAGAATTTCATGATCCGGAAAAATAAAAGGTACTTTTGTCAAATACAAGTAAAAATGAGATATTAGACATATTTATAATTATTGTCACCTTAGTAAGTAGACCATTTAAAAGCGTGCAATTTAAAAATTATATATAACAATTGACGGAGTTGATCAATGAGCGCAGCGTTGGAAACCTTACACCAATCAGGGGGGGGGGGGGGGGGGGGGGGGTGAACCAGTGGTATTTCTACATGGTATGCTCTGTTCTTTAAAATTCTGGATCAAAATGACGGTACATCTATAATTAAACGAATTTACAATTTTTGCTGTATTCTAGGCAGTACTTGATATTAAGTTGAATTTCTACTTGAAATAAAAATAATAATATAATCGTAATGATAAGAGATTCGTTTTATACGTATTGATATTGTGTTGTGGAATCGAAAATGACTATGGTTCATGGTTTTCATTTATTTATTCCGGAAAGTTTTGAAATACAAAAAAAAAAAACACAAAACCATTTACTTCACACTTTCTTCTAGATATATCTGCGTAAAATTATAATCACAATTTTTCAAGTGAATTATCTTTTAAGTGGTGTGAAATAGAAAATATCACATAATAACAGTATTTGCATATAGGACAGCAGATAATGAGATATTACATGTGGTGGTTACTAAAAACAACATTGTCATAAAAACGGATCAGCATAGAAAGAGAGCAAGTTCTAGACAAAGTATTCTTTGAAATTGTTTTCTGTATGTTACTCTTCAATAAGAAATGTCCAAAACGTTCAGGACTTGCTCTCCATTTTTGCCACTAGTTACAGCAATCTTTTTCATGTCTGAAGAAATACAGCAAGTAAGCGGGGAAACAAGTCCCAAGTCATATGCCCCGACTATTGTACCCGCAGGGGAAATATGAACAATTGTATTTCCCACACTACTACATACAAGTATGCTGTCTAAAGGACCAACTGCCATGCATGAAGGCGACAATATTGTTTTGTCTTTAACTGTTACAACAGTGTTTTTTACAATGTCATATATACACACAGAGTTGTCATCTTGATTGCAAGTAACTACTTTTTCCGTATTTGCAATGAATGTAAACTGAAAATCACTATCAGAAAATTGTTTTAAAGGAGTTTCACAAACAATATCGCTTTCTTTTCCTATATGTGAAATCTTTTTCAGGCACGTTTCATTTAGATAGCTTGCTGCAAAATTATCTTCATCTAACACGCGTAACCATCTGCAATTATAAGAAGTGTTCAGGATTCTCAGAAGAATGACAGTATTGTCTCTGGAAATAAAGTAGAACTCAATACGACCAGCCTGTGATACTGCAATTTCTGTCTGGGACAGAAGGACTAGGCAAAATGGTGTTGAATGAAACCTATGGGAGTTTACACACTTCAATTTTTCATCAAATATTAGCATGTCTTTATGATGACATTCGATTGCAAGGAGCCTCCCGTCTTTCAGAAATTCCATATTGGTATATAACAAATGTTTATCTTCAGCGTATAATTTGGATATATTAACTGTTGTATTGACTTTAAAATTCAGTTTTTTATTTTCGGTAGAATGATAGTGTTTAGTTACTGAAGTAGTAAGATTACCTCGAAAATCATCGGAAAAAGAATAAATGCATTTTTCGAATTCAATTTTGAAATCCATTCGGTCTAACTTGGATGTTACATGTTTTAACTCTTCCTTCATAGATGTGAGACTGTCGTTTAATTGAAATTGTGCCAAAAATTGTTGAGTCGGTCTTCCATCCTTCAACACCGATGAAAGGAGGTCTTTTTCATGTTCTAGTTTGTTTCGTAATTGTATATAATTATTTTGCACTTTGTTTAAATCATCAGCCTTCTGTTCTTTGAAAAAGAGAGCTTCCTTTTGTAATTCGCAGGATAAGTCTTGAAATGACTTATTCATCTTCTCTTGCACGCCATTAATTTCTTTAAGAACGTTTTGTGCCTGTTTTTTTAAATGTGTTTCAGACTTTACAAGATGATTTCCTATACGGTCAGCAACATTTTGCAATTCACAGAATTTGTCTTTCAAAAATGTACAATCATTATCTGTTTGTTCTGAAGTCCTTGATATCTCATCTATATATAAGCACTGTTTGTGTCCGAGAAAAGCACAGGTGCCGCAACAAAGCTCATTGTGTTCTTTGCAGTAAAAGTCGATCGACTCATTGTGTTTCTCGCAAATAGATATTCTTGTTAAAGAAGGTTTGGCTTCTGTAGCGTTTTGTAAATTATGATTTTTTAAAAACTTATAAATTGTATGTCCATTTGCACAATCTTCACACTGAAATTCTTCACATGTTGAGCAAAATATCGTCGCAGGTCTTGAAATGCCATTTTTGGAACATATCTGGCACAAACGAGCATGTGGAAAAGTATCTTCTGTACATTTTACTTGGCAGCTATCTGAGGCCATTTCTTTTTTAGTTAGCAAAACACGACCGTTATTGAATTCAACAGTTGCATAAATACGTTCAGCTAAACCCGATTTTATCTTATCTGTATCAAACTTGTATATCATGTGCTTCACGAATGTTTACAAGATATTGAAAAAATCTTCATTTTATTTCCAAGAGTACAAATAGTAGTTTAACAAAAAGCTAAAAACCATATAGACATAAAAAGATACAAATGCAAATTCAAAATAAATTTCAACAATTATATTAAAAAATTGCAATCTTGAAGCTTGTATATCTTGAGTTTAATGCGCAAGTTCTGTGTGAGATATTATTGTTATCTTTACATAGCCGTTGTTTGCTAATTCATCTTTATGTTTGGTATTTAATTATGTAAGCCTCCGGATTAGCGAAAATATTTCAATACATCAAACGTGTGAAAAATGTACTAAGATTCTAGGAAAAGTAGAAAGAGTCAAGATTCAACGAATATTCTGCATGTTATGAGCGATGAATGGTGGATTTTTCATTATGCGTGACAATTTCTACTGCGTTACTAACGCAGTAAGGGCATTTGTTGCAAATTTTGACCTCTTTTTTAATTAACGTGAGTTGTAAGTGCCATTGATAATGTGTAAATTGTTTCCTTTTGGTTACTATACAATATTATAAATTTAATTTCATTTTCAACATTTTCATGAAAATAAGCGTAAATCTGGAGGTGTGTTGCTGTAAAGAAACATGGGGTAAGATAAAATGAGCAGCATTAAGCACCTCGCAATGAATTCATTACAACAATGGTACATTTTACTGAATATCAAAGAGAATAGAAGATAATCTTATTACAGTATCTAAGGATTCTTTGGCCGCCACAAAATTTACGATATGCAGAATTTTAAAAATAGTTTTATGCTTTAAAAATATTGATAGATAACAAAATTAGATGATGAAATAGAACATTATAATTACTGACTAGTATTTCATTAATATTGTTTCAAAGAAACTATTAATATAAAGTTTGAATGATAATCTAATATGTAAATTATTATGTAAGAAAGGATGGCATATAAATTGCACAAAACATGTTTTGTTATATTGAGCGATTAAACTTGAACAAATGGCAATATCAAAACTTATAATAAAAAGAAGACACTCCGACCCCTTGAATTATAGTACCTCTTGGATCTTTAGTTGACTATTCAACCCTCAATATCTTGATCCCGATTGACATGACATGACCCTTAAACTTTTAGATAGCCCTATATCTAAAGTAAATATATCTATTAACAGTTCCACGTGAACTTTTTTTTCATATTATTTGAAATTGAATTAAAATTGATAAATGTAAAAAGGTACATTTAAAGAACACTTTAAGAACTGAATAATATATGTATTATAGGCATTAAAGTAACTTAAGTTTTATTAAATTTATGTAGTTATATAATTTTTGCTAATATAAGTGCTTGGATAAGACTTAAAGTATTAAAGCATCATAAGGAAAGCACAAAAGGATACGAACACAAAGTGAGTGTTTTCTTTGTTATACAATTACATGAATACATACTATTCATAGGTTTTTAGATCTGTATAAGTCCTTCTCAATAAGAATGTTTAATACTCATGTGTCTTCAGCAATGAAGACAACGTTCAATGTTTTACCGATTAAATATGCAAGAATACTATTGATGCTACAGTTGTTTGAAAACAATGTGCTGGTTCTGGAATGAAATTATCTCTTAACGTGAATCTCTCCACGTTTTACTGTTAAAAAACAGATTTGTTAAGAAATTTATCAGTTTGTAGTTTTTTTACTATGATCACATGAAATGTGGTCTATGTGCTAGCAAATGGTAAGACCAAATAACTTCATTTTTTATGCCCTGATGTTTGAATTACAACTTCTTTACTAATGACAGGCAACGTGATCACTTGAGAAAAGAAAAGTGCCTTTGGATATTCTTCTTTGACGTGTTTATTAACTGGAATATACATAAATACAGAAAATAATTTGGCGCTGGTAAATTTAACAATGTTTTCGCTTCTTCTTATTATAGCTTTCCAATTAAGGGTCTATTAATATAGCCTTCATTCAGTGTAAATTTACACGACGGTGATCAATACATAGTTATGTCCTCTTGCCAAGAACTGAAGCTGATAGTCAGTAGTAAGTATACAAAGTTTCAAAACAATCCCTCAAAGAGTATAGGAATTTTTAGCTTATTTAATTATATTAAACCCCTGATGAATAATTCAGTTCTCCAAAGGCTTTAAACAATCCCAGTTATCAGTTATAGAGAACCTAGTTTTTTTTACAAAACATTATCATTTAACGTAAAACCACTTCCGTATTATTTCCTCGTGTTTTGTATAAGAATTCATGATAAATTAGATTTATTCTATAAAAATCCTGGTAATTAAAGGACGTCAAACCTTTACATATACAAGCAACAAATTACTCACGTAGATAACTGACGCCAAAACTAAAATAACTCAATATCAAATTTGTGTAGTGTAAATAATGAAATAAAATTGTACGAATTAAGTTATCGTCTTCACAACATGTATATTAAATATCTTAAATTAATACAATTATAGCTTTAAATAGTTTTGTCAATACCGTTGTAAAGTCATGTGATATTAAAGAAATGCATAAAACACGTCAAATTATTTTGTATTTTAATCAAGTATAATTCTAAAATTTTGTCCATATGTGTTTGATGTAAATCAGATAAGTGTTTTTCTTTTTTCCATTTTTTGTGTTAAAACTCGATACAGTCAACATAGTCTGCCTATCCAGTGCAGGTCAAATAATAAGTTGTTTTTGTCTTCAAATAAACCAGCGACAATGGTTTTGAAATGTATTTTCCTTAAGTTTAAGTTAGTTCATGTTTTCATCAAAAACAAGATCTAAGTCACCGAAGAAAGAAGGTTTTTGTCACTGTTTATTTTTTTTTCTAAAAACGCGCCGACTGAAACAAAAACTGCTGTAAACGCATGTATTTCTACTATTTGTACCTCTGCTAGTGCTGCAGCAGGTGCAGCCTCTGTAACTACGAATACTACTACAACTACTATGATTTCTTTCTACCATGTAACTGCTGCTTCTGCTTTATCTGCTGCTACTGAGTGACTTCTGTTGCATCTGTTGCTACTGTTACTACAGCAGTATCTGCCGCTACTGTTACTACGGATACTATTATAACAACTATGACTATATCTGCAATTTACTGCTGCTACTGCTACAAAAGCTGCATCTGCTGCTACGGGAATACTTTTGCTGCATATGTTACTACTGCCGCTATTGTTGCTGTATCTTTTGCTACTTATGGCACTGCTGATACTGCATCTGCTGCTACAATGAAATATATGTTAATAATCTTCCTTAAATAGCAAAATCGCCTTCAATATGTTGTTTCGCACATTATCAGCCTCAACCTGCAACCTTTAGACTGCTATACGCCAGAGGCAAACACGCTCGTACATCCTGCTTTTTCACCAGGTCAATGCGGCATGCAGTCGGTCTGATAAGATGCAGACCAGTCAAACTCGACGCAGAGATTCTGGAACACCTACACACGTTTTGTACAACTCTTTAGTGTCACCATGCTCAAAGTGCGTAAAGCAACGACGCAGATTTTGGCAGTTGAACTCGAAATTGATGAGCCATTGGCAATGTTTTTTAATGATGGGTCGAACTTTTTTAGTAGAGTCAAAGTGTCATAGGTGTCTAAGTTTTTCTTTTATGTCGAGATGTCTGTCCTAGCGTCGACCAATCAAATGGTCGGTCCAGATGTCAAAGACTTAAAATATCATTAAATTTTCTTTTGGAGAAATGGGGGCTTAACTTTGTTTTTCTAAAAGAATTTTTTGTTGTTAAAACTATTTCATTGCCACATTTATGCATTCCGAAATAAAACCTTTGTTTGTCAGTATGTGGCGAACTGAGAAATATAATTACATTAATAGTTCTGAGTGTGCAGCTGTGTATAACAAATAAATTAGATATACATAAAAGTATAAACCGGAAAACTAAACTGGCTTCCCTTCCTATGTAAAAGATTTACTTCCAGTTCACCCTTATTGTGATGAATTTTTAATTTGGGTCAGACGAAGTTTAGACAATAGTTTAGAAATTTCATAAAAGGAAAGCAAACCAGAAGAAAAGTGTTTGGTCATACTGGCTATACTCTCTCGTGGAGGCAGGCATTGGCTAGTTATTGTCGTTGTAAGAAGATGCATGGTGTTTTTAACGCGTAAATTTAATATAAGCTTAATATCAAAATAAAAATGGAATACTTTGTTACAGTAGTAATATAATATAAGGACATGTTTGTTTATCCGTCAATGAAATAAGTTATAATACAGGCAATAAATTCAAAGTAAGAAATAGATAGAACTAACAACATTTATATTTCATTCATTTATTCAATTGTAATTTGTTTTATCAAACATTTAATCCTAGATTTACACACAATAAGAATCAAATTAAGACAACATTTTTATTTCCACCAAATGTAATTTGCGTTCCGTTTTGCTCTCGTTGGTAGATATTAACAGTTTTCTGTAGTCTTTAGAGATGCCAACCGCCAAAGCATTATCTATACCTAATTTGTAGTCAGACAGGATGTGTCCAGTAGAAGACATGTGTATAATCGAGCTGTTTTCCGTTAAATTACAAACAAAAAAACTATTAAATGGGCCATGCACAACTTGAGATCTATCTCTAATATTTTCACTTTTGACTTTAACCTTTGTTTTCAATTCAGTGTCATATATATGAATTGCATTTTCAAACGGGTGACATAGAACGACTTTCTTACATCTTTGTAAATAAAGACAGCCGATCGAATGACTCGGGTCCACAATTTCATACTGCGCAGGAATCCATTCAATGTCTAAATCCTTTTCTTCCCCTGAACTTGAAATAAGACTGAGAGGTGTTACTTCCTGAAAATGTCCAACGAGAAAACAGTCCTTTTCTCCAACAGCAATATTTTGAAGCTGGTATTTGGAATTTATAGATTTTACTAACGATATTTGACCTGACAAACTAGCACGAAATATATCTATTTTATGATCAACA